CACAATTCCTTCTTCATGTAAACACGACACAGCATGGGCCAACTGGCGTGCAAATTTGTATTTATCTCCCCATGTCAGCTTATCAAAGTTATTCTTCAAATAATTTCTAAGTGCTCCGCCATCAGCATATTCCATTACTAACATATATTTTTTCGGTTTATCATTTTGATTTTCTAATTTTTTTTTTTAATTTTTTTTAAATATAAAAACGAGTTTAAAAATAAAATAAAAACAACAATGCCTTTGTATTTCTTTAATAGACTTTATTATGAACATTTTATACCTTGTTTTGAAGTTATTCCACAAAAACGGATTATATTATCATAAAAATCAACTTCTCGCTGAAGCTCGAGCTAAATTATTACGAATATAAATATTAGTTTAAATGATTTTATACTAAGCAGTTAGAATATCATGATATATCATATTTTTGTAATTACCTCACGAACAAGTTCTTTAACAGTTGCCTCGTTAAAGTTATGAAATGATTTTAGCGCAGGTTGTTGTTTTGTATTTTTCCAATTTGCACAATAGACTTTTCCAAAATTTCCTGTACCGATCTTTTGGATATTGCTAAAATGTTTATATTCGTAGCATTTGATACTATTATTTGATATATATTCTTCAATCGAATTAATCCATTCATTTAAATTATTATCAGTTTGCATATTATTTTTTTTTAAAAAAAAAAAATTTAAGAATGTTAATTTGGAGAAAAAATTATGAAAAAAAATTTTTTTTTTTTGTGCACTGAAAATCATTAAAGCCCTCGGTTAAATACTGTATGTAGTGTGATTTAACTAAAAGCGGGTTCTTTTATTTTGGGGATCGTCGACACATACCACATTTTTGGTTTAAATAGAATACGATAAGACCCGAGTGTAACGTCGGACTTACGTCCGTCAGACATATATTGTATTACATATAGCAGGGTCAAGAAAGGATGTCGTACAGGGTCAAGAAGGTAATTTTTGCGTCAGACACATGTTCAATAGGATATGTCGTGCTCTGGACTTAACCATTTCCAAGTTTTCTTTTTATTATTATTATTAGACTTAGAAGTATAGTTGTAAAGCTTTCTATAATATATAAAAAAGGAGATCGAAAAAAAGGTTAAGTTAGAAATTGGTGGCTCTATTATACAAGTCTGACGGTATTTTAAGTTTAAAATTGAATTACTGAATTATACACGCTTAATTTTTATTGTGGTTCAATGATTATTAATTCCGAAATTGAACTACCGTTGTTAAGTCTGGAACTTTATCAGCATCGACTCAATTATTGAGCGGGCGGACAGTAACCAAAACCTGTCCTTCACTTCGTATTATTAATTCCGTAATTCGCCGATCATGTGTAGTATTTTTATATATAAATTCCGGGGAATTTTTACTATTTATATATAAAAAGATCGTCAAATACTAAAAATAGTGTTCTATTAGAATTTTTTTCTAGAATAGTCCAAACCTGCTGAAAATCATAAGTGTTATTAATAAATGAGAGAGTGTTACGAATACCAAAAAAAAATCATTTTTTATATGTTTCGTTTTATGCTTTACTTTGGGCATTTGTCAGATTCCAGTAGGAATTCTATGTACAGATCTGTAATTGCAAATGTTTCGAAAGTCATTTTTATAAGTTTTTATGCTTTTTTATGCATAATATATTTTTAAATTTATATTTTTTTTTACTTTTATTCAATATACTTTATTATACTTTTTTATTTGAAATGCTTACTATACTACCAATGTGAGTATTATTGCTGATTTTATTCTTGACGTTCTAAAGCTATAGCTGCCATTTCACGTTTACATGCTGCAGAATATCTACCAATCCAATTTTCAATTGTTTCTACTTTTGGTATTATTTCAGAATCAAATTCCCCATTATTTGCCATATAAATAAGTTCTGATAACATATCATTAGCTGAGCATCGATCACTTTTATCAGCATTATCAACATGAAAAAAACCTTATAATAACGTAATAATCTTTTTTGACATTTTTGTTCTGCCTCTTTTTTCAAATTTTTGATTTGCTTTAATGTCCATCCAGATGCGAGTTGAATTCTGCATTAACACTACAAATAAGATCAACATATTATTTCTTATGTAACTCTATTTTAAAATAAGTAACATCAAACAAGGTAGGTTTTTTTTACATAAAATTATTTCTTACATTTATAATTTTATTACTAACTTATTTCAAATTTTCGTTAGGTGTGTGTATTCGTATATGCTTAGAATTAGTATCTAAAAATAATTTAGTGACTATTCAATATACAGAATAATTGTAATATAGTACAAATTTGAAATAAACTACTATCAGGATTTGGTATTGGTATAGTCTATAAAGATTTTAGTTTAGAAGGTATAGAAATTATAGGATTGGATTTTATTATTTCCATATTTGATAATTTTTATATTTGTATAGGAGAATAATTAGTAAAATCACCTATATTTGGCAATAAACGTGCTTGTATGAAACTTGCAAATGGTCTGTCTATTGGTTATTTCTATTCATTCATATTAAATATTCTAACCAATGACTTTATTTTTTTATCAGATTTTTCACGATTAGGATTTAGTTCTTCTATTGATGTATCACACAAATCTTTGATTGCATTTTCTATATTAATGCCTTCTTTTATCTCAAATCCAACTCTAACATATCTTTTAATAGCATGTGCAATCTATGAAATTATTAGTCAATTATTATTTTTTTAATGCTAATAAATTATTATTTTTCTTATACTAATAAATATAATAAATAGTACAATGTATTAATTAGATTTAACCTACGTATAATGAGAGTCAATTGCTGTTTTTGCTTCTTCAGCTTTCAAAAAAATCCATTTTCTTACTTAGATATTATACCAATCTTTCCAATGTGCTATTATAAGCATCATTTCACTATTATAATAATGAGGTCTATTGTCTGAAATTAACATGATCCATTTTAGTTTTTTTGACATAACATCAAATACTGCATGAAGTAATGATGCTGTGAACCATACTTAGTTTTTCATTATTTTCAGATTTGGTATATATTAATATAGAATGTAAAGTCTAACCCTTTTTCCTAAAAAATTCAGACTTGGATTCTCGTGCTGATTTTAGTAAGATACGCATCTTATAATCAACAATAAGTACAGCACCATCATCATCTAATTCTAATAAATTTGCTTGAACTTGTGCATTAAGAAATATCTTTCACGTTTGATATGCAAGATAATAAAGTAATTTTTCTTTTTTATCATTTAGAAGTTGTTGTTCTTCAGTTGAAAGAATTGATTCTAGTTCATCAAAAAAAGAATAAAGATTTGAACACTGATAATATTTGATACTATGTGTTTTTTTACATTTGCTAAATGAATAAGGTAAACAGTGATCAATACATTTATCGTATTTAATATGACTATTACTTTTAACAGTAATTTTGTGTACATATTCTCTTTTCATATGATGTTTAATTAGTTCTACATTTCGTAGTAATTTATTTTATATTTTATAATAATAATATAATAAAGTTATTTTTTTTTTATAAATAATTTTATTGAAAAAATACAAATAATTATATAAATTACATACTTGAATTAAAAGGTTTTCAATATATAATCTTATAATTTTAGCTAAATCATCAAATACTTCATATTCATACTCTGCACAAATTGAACATAATCCTCTTAAATCTTCATGATATCTATATAGACCATCTTCAATTCGTGTCATAAATGACGTTCTTTTTATTCTATTAAGATAAATTTCTGAAAATCTTTTTCACAACGATTCTTTTTGATCAAGTAGATAAAGGATAGGACAGTTTGTTCTTAGATCAATCTTATATGAACTTATATTAACATGCTTTATCTGAAAAAAAAGCTTCAAATTGATCTTCTATTTCTTTAGTAAAAGGTAGGTTATGTATAACTACAGGTTTATTAATTTGCTGGCAACCTAGACTATTAAGTATAGCATATTTTTTGTTACATTGATAGTTGTAAGTGAAACCTGAATTAATACCAACAAGTTTATTTAGATTTTAAAAATAATTTATAATACATATGTAAAAAAATTTATATTATCCCAAGTTTGTTTTATAACTTCCAGTAAGAAAATTGATGTGCAATAATAGATAAAATTTGCTGTATCCCATCAGGACCTTTTTGATTTTATGCTAAACTTTTTGCAAAACAATTCCAAAATATTTGTGATGGATTTTGAACATTTGATGAGTATAGACTTAAAAAGCCTGATTGAAAAAGATCTTTCATCATTTTTTTATCATTTGTAGGATCTAAAGATCACGTCTAAAATTTATACTATATTGTATATAAATTATAATTAGTTTATTTAATGTAATTTAAATAAATCAATAAATAAATATAATTACCAGTGAAATATTGTTATTGAAAGATGTTACATTTATACAACCAGCGACTTTAAGCATAGAACTCTAATCTTGCATTTCATGATCATTAAATTGATGATTTTTTAGATATAAATTAACTAGAGTTGTATTTATTTCAATAATATTTTCACTAGATTCCCATTATTTAAACAATTGCAACCAATTTACTTCAATAATAGTTCATCTTTTGAGATGATATTCATATAAATTATTCATTAGCTTTTTATCATTCCATTGAGATAGTTGACATTTAGGAATATATAATTGTTGCAATACAGATTGTGTATATGTATGCTCAAGTCCAAATAATTGCGTACCCTGATATTTTCCTAAAATTCCAACTTTTTGCTAAACATTTGCTGGTGAATTACTTTCATATTGTGAAATTTTTATATTATTATTCCATACTTCTACTATGGATTTATTTTTTACAAATTTTTAAACAAATATATAATGCTCTTTTTTAAAAACATGAATAAAAGAAGCCATATACTCCTCTCCAGAACCCATCCAATCTTCATTTTTAAAAGCACCTAAACTAAAGATCATAATAGATAGTTTATCTGCTAAACTAATTGAATAAGAACAAAATTCTATATCATGTAATAATTCACTAAATATTGATTCTTTATCAAAGCCCATAACCATTGAACCTGAAATTTTTGTTTGAGTTTTGAAAATTTTTCTATACAAAGAAGTAATTGCATTAGTTGGATTATCTTCAATTTTACTGAAATCAGAATTACATTGATAAGTATAGCCAGGTTGATTTACAGACCCTCGCCAAAAGTCTCTGAATGCTTTTTGGCTCAATGTAAACTTAAAATTTTAAAGTTTATTAAAAAAATTTATTAATTTATTTATTAATGTATAATA